CTGGAAGAGCCCAGCCCGGGAGAGGGGCGGCCGTGGGCGCCTGTGCAAGCGGCCCAGGGGCAAGGAGCGGCTGTTGCCGGGCAAAACCGGCGTTAAAGGGCTCGTCGGTTTTTAGGATTTAATTTCGGGGTGGGGTGGGTGTGTCCGAGGCGTAGCAGTCCCCAGCCTCCTGTGGGAACGCGCCCGGGCCCACCGGAACAGAATTGACCCCCAGATCTCGTTCTGGTGCAGCTCCAGGGATTACTCGGCCCCCGTGAACTTCATCAGCGCCGGGCTGAAAAAGTCGGCGGCCGAGGATGTGTCAGAAGAAGACTCTGATGAAGATGAGAAGCCTGTTAAGCAGGAAGAAGTCCCTAAAGAGTTTGTGCCGAAGAAGTTAAAAACAGTGAGTTAGTCAGGAAGTTTTCAATCCTGTGTAATGTATTTATGAAACTTAGGCTGTAGTCAAAGGCTCTGAAACAATAACAGAGCACTAAAGAAGGCGAGGAATAATGAAAACCACATGCGACAGCGTGCTGCTAAGGGAGGTGTTTTCTCTGACTTTTGTAGCTGTTCTGATGTATCCTTGTGTCGTTGGGAACATCAGTCCTTTTAGGCCCTTTTATCTGCCTTAGTATTCCCTTTGGTCAGTTGAGGTTACAATAAAAGAATACCCGTGGTTTACTGCTTTTCAAAGACACTTTTTTTTTTTTAATCACACAGAGCAGTATGACAAATCTAGGCACGTTACAGATAAAAATCATCCTCTTATTTTCAGTTACAAAACCCAGAAAAACTCAGGAATTGGCTTCAGCTAAAGTTGGTGGTAGAGCCTAATAACTGGCAGCTCGTCAGTCTGAGCTTGTCAGGACTTTCCTTTTCCATCTAAGGAACTTCAGGAGACTCCTTAGGTGGCAGGAAGCGTACATGGACGCACAAGGCACGACACAGTGAGCTGTGCAGTGTGGAGGCAACTGAATCGCTTCTGGGAAGAACCTTCCTTTTGAGTGAAATTATGGAGAGCTTGGTTATTATGATGCCTTAAGGTTGGGAGGGGTTTATTTGTTTTATTTGTTTTAACAGGGTGGTAATTTCAAGCCTAGCCAGAAAGGCTTTGTAGGGGGGACAAAATCTTTCGTGGATTTTGGCAGCTGGGAGAGACACACTAAGGGAATTGGGCAGAAGCTTCTCCAGAAGATGGGTTACGTCCCTGGAAGAGGTCTTGGGAAGAATGCTCAAGGTACTGTGGTTGTGTGTTTGGCCGTCTGTTGTTACATACTAATTTGGAAAAGAGATTGGATTCTTTAAAGAACTGCCATCTCCAGGTGGCTTACAATTTCATTCTTGTTTTCTTGCATCTCTTGCAAGTGATCTGGGTCCTCATGATAAGATTCAGTTGTGTTTAAATTACCATAGGCCAATTTTATGCTCCTGTTCCTTTGCAAGAGAAAGAGAGAAAGAAAAAAGGGAGATAAATGCCAAAGGTAGCCAGCTCACAGAGAAGGAGATGTTGTATGTGATGGAATAAAAAAGCAGCAAAATGTAGATGTGAATAATACTCTGCTTTGTTTTTGTGTGTGTGTGCTGGAATTAAGTGATTTTATAGCCACTAAGAAATTAATGAAGTGGTGGGAGATACCGTAGTGATAGAGGCAGAACACCAGGCTGGACGTTTGTGCTGATTTGATAACTTTGGGTACTGTAAGAAAACCACTCTCTGTTCTCTGTTGGGAAGCAAACTGCTCCTTCTGATGTAACTACTGCCCTTTTAGGTATTATCAATCCAATTGAGGCCAAACAAAGAAAAGGCAAAGGGGCTGTGGGAGCATATGGCTCCGAAAGAACCAGCCAGTCCTTGCAAGACTTCCCTGTTGTGGACTCGGAAGAAGAAGCTGAGGAGGTATTTGTATGATTCTTGGTATATCTGTTTCCTGGTTGTGTTGTACGCACAAAATTCAGTTCTGGTATCAGCTTCTGTGTCAGAGCAAACTGTTCGGGCTCATTTTATATAAGAAGCTAAAGGCATAGCACGTTAATTTCTTTTAGATGTGTTTTTCTTGTCACTGTAATGTTCTTTGTTGTTTCTGGCTCATTTTATTTCAATAGTCTTGCTAGAACCCCGCCTTCAAAGAGTCCCTCTGGGTAAATAGTCTTTATCTTTTATTTAAATTAAAAAAATAAGCAAACAAATGACAGAATCAGAAATGTGCTGCTAGCATTCTGAATAGGGTGGGTGACTGGACCTCAGCATCTGAGGGGTTTTGCCACTGTACGCTGTGCTTCATTGGTCTGATGGTTATTTTCCTGCAGAAAATAGAGGGAAATTTGGGGCGTGATAAAGAGCGGTAACCACAACTCTTCTTTGTTTTTGTTCAGGAATTTCAAAAAGAGCTCAGTCAGTGGCGGAAGGATCCTAATGGAGGCAAGAAAAAGCCCAAATACAGCTATAAGACAGTAGAAGAACTGAAAGCCAAGGGTAGGATCAGCAAGCAGCTTTCAGCCCCTCAGAAGGAGCTGTCTCAAGTCAAGGTAGGGTTGATAACCCAAGAGGTGGCATCTCTGGGAAACGGTTTGTCGACGTTGACATTGTGAGTGCCTTTTAGCCATCAGTATCCTCAGTAGAAGCCAAGAACCGGCTGGCTGCAGCCTCGTGGAAGTCAAGGCCACTGACTCATGTACTAAACCGCTGTGTCACCTACAACATTGGATTTGGTTTTAAGCAAGTTCTTTGGCCTCACAAAAATGCAAATTAGCTTAGATGTGGGGGTTTTTTTTGACTGCAAGCTAAGTTGAATTGTTTCATGTTTGTCATTGATAAAACGCTCACCTGCTTCTGAAAGCACAATTGTCCTTATTGGCATGGTGCACCTAAACACGTAGTTTGAACCGTCTTCTACCTAAAAGGGACAGTAAGGGATTTGTCTTGTATGCGCTTAGTTATTCATCTGAAATTAATGTGTCTTCAAAAAAAGTTTAGAAGTACCTAAGACTTCCGTGCAATAATGAGTAGTGTACTGCTTGCATCATCGCTGCTGTAGACTTACTCAGCGAAATGGTAAAACTGAGATCAGGAGAGGACATTCCTCCAGCTCTGATTCCAAATTGTTTCTTCTTTCTAACTCTTCGTGTCTGGAGTGGGCCTTTTTGGAGGCAATCCCCAGGTGCCTCGTTCAGAATAGCAGTGTGTGTTAGTAGCCTGCTGGAGTAATTAAGGTACTTGGAAATCTCCAGTTTTCAATTTGGAGTAAACACGCGAGACAATTTTTTTGAGACATGTTTGTTCTTGTTTGTTGGAAGGTTATAGACATGACGGGCCGGGAGCAGAAGGTTTACTACAGCTACAGTCAAATTAGCCACAAGCACAATATCCCAGATGACAGTCCTCAGCAGCCACTGGGCAAGGACTCCAAGCCCCAGGGGTTTGCCTTGCCTGAGCTGGAGCACAACTTGCAACTTCTCATTGACATCACAGAGCAGGAGATCATCCAGAACGACCGGCAGCTGCAGTACGAGAGGGACATGGTTATCAACCTGACCCACGAGATACAGAAGATGTCCGAAGTTCTCTCACACGAGGAGACAGCAATTAGCAATCTCAGCAAGGTGCTGGAGATGGTGGAAGAGTGCGACAGACGGATGCAGCCCGGTTGTGAAAATCCCTTAACCTTGGATGAGTGTGCAAAGATTTTTGAGACGCTTCAAGACAAGTACTATGAAGAGTACAGAATGTCTGATCGGGTAGACCTGGCAGTAGCCATAGTCTATCCTCTCATGAAAGATTACTTCAAGAACTGGGATCCCCTCAAGGTGCGTATTAGTTTGATTTATCTGCGGTTCTGACTCGATGGCTTAAGTGGTCTTTGTTATCTTGACTCCTCCCAACTCCTTGTCTCAAATTCCTATCAGTCTGGAGAGAAAGAGGAAGAAAAAGCACCTTCCCCTTGCCTGGCAGGGGAGAGGAAGGTTCCAGAGAGAACTCCTGGTGTTCGTAGAGT